GAGTCACAGCCAAAGTTCCTCCCCCTCAGCTATTGCACATTGATCTGGTTAGGACTCCTCTGGTAATGCATGTAGTTTCAGATAGGACATACACACACACTGACTCACAAGACAGAAACACTCGTGCCCTGCTGACATACACTGTGTGTGGACTTGCTTGGAGCAGATGGTCTAAAATGAGCTCCTCAGGCTGGATACTGGCTGTGTGTCTTGTGGTTCTTGAAGGTAACAAAAAAAAATGTGTATGTGATGGCGATTTAGTCTTGATAGTGTGGTGTAACTATGCGACAATCATGCACTGTATGAGTAAGACTTTCATTAAGGCAACATTTCTGGTCACCATCTGTTTTTTTGTCATGTGTGTTTGGTTTATGTGTGAATTGTATTTGCATGTCTTTCGCCTAAAAATGAATTCTGCCATAAAATGTCATTTGTTTGCTCACTCTAACCATAAAACGAATCTGTTTACATATGATTATGTAAGCGACTGTGTGATTAATGTTTTTTTTAATTAATAAAATTATGCTATGTATGGTTTGTTTACTATAATTGGTTTGTTTACATTGTGGTTTTTGAGATTTTCTGCATGTTTTTGAGTTGTAGTGCAGCTGTTGGGTTGCTTTTACTGTTTCAGTCATATTGTAATGTGAAAACATTGTCATCTTGAATTATAAAGGCATAAGTTTAACCACAATTGCTGACCTTTGTTCACCACATGTGCTGACAGTGAGTTTAAAACATTTACTCTGTTGTTCAGCATGTGTCTCTTCTCGTGTGTCATCACAGGAGGCAGATATGCTGTGTGGGCCAAAGAAGGGTCAGGCAGTGAGAGGAACTGTTCGGCAATTCCTCCGGTACTCTATTCTTCTATCCATACTGTGTCCATGTTTTCCTCTGTATATCCCCACAACTGGTTCAGCCCTCTGCTAGGACTTGTCTTTAGCTCAGAGAGCAGTGGAAAGAAAAAATAATAACCCTGTCTCCAGCATACAGGCCTAATCTGGCCTCTCAGTGAGGAGATCTTCTCTTCTGATAAGAACACAGTTTTTAGGTCATGCACACCCAAAATCTGATCTCAACGAGGTGTGTGTGTGTGTGTGTTATCTGTGAACTGCTCACACAGCCTTATCATTTAAAGGGTTAGTTCTCCCAAAAATGAAAATTCTGTCATTAATAACTCACCCTCATGTGGTTCTAAACCCGTAAGACCTCCGTTCATCTTCGGAACACAAATTAAGATATTTTTGATTAATTCTGAGAGCTCTCTGACCCTCCCATAGACCGCAATGTAATTACCACGATCAAGGTCCAGTAATGTAGCAAGGAGATCGGTAAAATAATCCATGTGACATCAGGGGTTCAACCGTAATTTGACGAAGCTAAGAGAATACTTTTTGTGCCCGAAGAAAACGAAAACAATGTATCCGTGTCACGCAGCTGACACAGAATAGCATACGCTGTTTACGTTTAGTGGATAATCTCCAAAATGGAGCCAGGGTGACGCGGAGGAGACGAATTGTTGAATAAAGTCATTATTTTTGTTTTTTTGCATACAAAAAGTATTCTCTTAGCTTCGTCAAATTACGGTTGTACCCCTTAGGTCACATGGATTATTTTACTGATCTACTTGTTACGTTTCTGGACCTTGATCGTGGTAATTACATTGCTGTTTATGTGAGGGTCAAAGAGCTCTCAGAATGCATCAAAAATATCTTAATTTGTGTTCCGAAGACGAACGGAGGTCTTATGGGTTTAGAATGACATGAGGGTGAGTAATTGATGACAGAATTTTCATTTTTGGGTGAACTAACCCTTTAAACTAAGTGTTTTTATATGGGTTGAGTTTCGAATTATGGGTTGAAAAGTGAATTTGTGATATTTAACATTTGTGGATTGTGGATAACTTAATGAATTCAGAATAATTTTGATGCAGTATATTTAAATGATTCATTCTGGTTGCTCCAGTATTTGCCACCAACAGCTGTAAACACGACTCTGAGGCTTCGTGATCTGAGAGCATCCATGATCCCCTTGAACATCTCAGCCTACATCATCCCAGCCACAGATGCTCATCTGGTAACTTCTAAAGACTGTCAGAAATGAACTTTTATATTAAGAGGCAATACTGGTCCCCTGGAATTTATATTTCTTTTCTTTTAACTAACCATATAAAATCACAAACCATGCCATACACTGATATCAAAGAAGTCTAAATAATTTCTAATATTTTAACAATTATGATTTCTATAAAATCAACAAAAATAATAATAATTTTTTTTGTGCCCCTATTATGGGTAATGAAAGGTTCATATTTTGGTTTTGGAAGTCCCCAACAACAGGTTGACATGCATGCAAGGTCAAAAAACACTTTCATTGTCTTATAATATGCATTTATTTTTACCTTAATTGCTCAAGGACTCCCAAACGATTTGCTCAACGATTCATTTTTCCAAACCCCTCCTTTGCATGATGCTAATCTGCGGTGATTGGTCAGATTGGTCTCATTTTCATTTTATCATGCCTGTAATGCCTAATAAAGTAGTTTGTGAGCTCAGTGCTGCTTTGTGTACAGCCGTTACCGGGGAAAACGCTGTTTTTACCGCTCCAAAAGCGGCATCTAGTGGTAAAGAATGAATTTGCATTTTCATTCAGACCAACAGGAAAAGGCCAACAGGTGGGCGGGCAATATGCTAATGTTTCATGTTGACCTCAACATGACACGGCTTGGGATTCGTTTTAAAAACGACTCGTTTCAATGATTCAGAGTCGACTCTTTCTTTTGAGAGACAATAACTTTATACACGGTGCACTTTCAGATTTAAGACTTTGCAGGATGTTTTCATTCAATTAGAGCTGTTTTACACACTGCATGAAAGGTCATTTTCAAAAATCCATAATAGGGGCACTTTAAATGCACATTCTCTCTTAGGTCTGCAGAGACACCACATACTAAATCCAAAACTACTTGGCCTAGAATTAATAATATGAAATATATCAAATGATATACGAGATTAAAAATTATTCATCCCCAAATTTTAAATATTTGTTGTGTTTTTGTCAGTTTTGTAGGCATTTAATTTCTGACCCCCTAAACCTCCTCTTCTCTTTCAATCTTCTTCATTCTCAGACATTACCTTTGTGACGGTAACTGACTGTGGTTTTTTGGCAGAGTGAGTACATCGCCCCCAGAGATGCGAGGTTGGCCTGGATGTCTGGCTTCACTGGCTCCGCAGGTGTGTTTCACAGCCAACTGATCATAATATTGCTGTATCACCATGCATCATTCTCAGTCACATTATGTTTGTCACTTCTTTGGTCCCTGACAAACGGCCCACTCCTGTCTTCTGTTATAACTAACAAAAGTCTGTTTCTAAATTCTAGGAACAGCAGTAATTACTCAAAACAAGGCTGTTTTGTGGACAGATAGCCGCTACTGGATTCAGGCAGAGAGACAAATGGACTGTAACTGGGAGCTACTGCGAGATGGTGAGGAGCAATATGAGAGTAAAATTCATATTTTAAACTTGTCCAAATGAAGTTGAACATGTGGGTGAATGAATGTCTTAAAACATATATTTAAAGGATATTGAAAGATGTTATTCTATTGATTGCTGTGTAGAATTCTATTATTTGTCTGTTATTAATTCGATCTGAGTCTGTAACACTTTCCTGGTCTAACTCTACTGGATCACAGCCTCCATTCGCAGCATTACCAACTGGCTGATCCTAGAGATCCCTGAGGGAGATCAGGTGGGCTTTGACCCATTCCTCTTCTCTGTAGGTAAGCAAACAGAGCTAATAAAATACTTTATGTAAAATAAGTTTAAAAAGTGTGTGTTGTTTTCTGTTCTTTTTTTTGTTTTAAATGCTGTTCTTTTGAACTTTTTTTATTCATCAAAATAAAATAAAAAATTGAATAATGATAATACATTTTAAAATGTATTCAAATGGAAAACGTATATTAAATTGTATAATATTTCACAATATTGCTTATATATTTACTATATTTTTCATCAAATAAATGCAGCCTTGGTGAGACTGTGAGGAGATCTTCTCTTCTGATAAGAACACAGTTTTTAGGTCATGCACACCCAAAATCTGATCTCAACGAGGTGTGTGTGTGTGTGTTATCTGTGAACTGCTCACACAGCCTTATCATTTAAAGGGTTAGTTCTCCCAAAAATGAAAATTCTGTCATTAATAACTCACCCTCATGTGGTTCTAAACCCGTAAGACCTCCGTTCATCTTCGGAACACAAATTAAGATATTTTTGATTAATTCTGAGAGCTCTCTGACCCTCCCATAGACCGCAATGTAATTACCACGATCAAGGTCCAGTAATGTAGCAAGGAGATCGGTAAAATAATCCATGTGACATCAGGGGTTCAACCGTAATTTGACGAAGCTAAGAGAATACTTTTTGTGCCCGAAGAAAACGAAAACAATGTATCCGTGTCACGCAGCTGACACAGAATAGCATACGCTGTTTACGTTTAGTGGATAATCTCCAAAATGGAGCCAGGGTGACGCGGAGGAGACGAATTGTTGAATAAAGTCATTATTTTTGTTTTTTTGCATACAAAAAGTATTCTCTTAGCTTCGTCAAATTACGGTTGTACCCCTTAGGTCACATGGATTATTTTACTGATCTACTTGTTACGTTTCTGGACCTTGATCGTGGTAATTACATTGCTGTTTATGTGAGGGTCAAAGAGCTCTCAGAATGCATCAAAAATATCTTAATTTGTGTTCCGAAGACGAACGGAGGTCTTATGGGTTTAGAATGACATGAGGGTGAGTAATTGATGACAGAATTTTCATTTTTGGGTGAACTAACCCTTTAAACTAAGTGTTTTTATATGGGTTGAGTTTCGAATTATGGGTTGAAAAGTGAATTTGTGATATTTAACATTTGTGGATTGTGGATAACTTAATGAATTCAGAATAATTTTGATGCAGTATATTTAAATGATTCATTCTGGTTGCTCCAGTATTTGCCACCAACAGCTGTAAACACGACTCTGAGGCTTCGTGATCTGAGAGCATCCATGATCCCCTTGAACATCTCAGCCTACATCATCCCAGCCACAGATGCTCATCTGGTAACTTCTAAAGACTGTCAGAAATGAACTTTTATATTAAGAGGCAATACTGGTCCCCTGGAATTTATATTTCTTTTCTTTTAACTAACCATATAAAATCACAAACCATGCCATACACTGATATCAAAGAAGTCTAAATAATTTCTAATATTTTAACAATTATGATTTCTATAAAATCAACAAAAATAATAATAATTTTTTTTGTGCCCCTATTATGGGTAATGAAAGGTTCATATTTTGGTTTTGGAAGTCCCCAACAACAGGTTGACATGCATGCAAGGTCAAAAAACACTTTCATTGTCTTATAATATGCATTTATTTTTACCTTAATTGCTCAAGGACTCCCAAACGATTTGCTCAACGATTCATTTTTCCAAACCCCTCCTTTGCATGATGCTAATCTGCGGTGATTGGTCAGATTGGTCTCATTTTCATTTTATCATGCCTGTAATGCCTAATAAAGTAGTTTGTGAGCTCAGTGCTGCTTTGTGTACAGCCGTTACCGGGGAAAACGCTGTTTTTACCGCTCCAAAAGCGGCATCTAGTGGTAAAGAATGAATTTGCATTTTCATTCAGACCAACAGGAAAAGGCCAACAGGTGGGCGGGCAATATGCTAATGTTTCATGTTGACCTCAACATGACACGGCTTGGGATTCGTTTTAAAAACGACTCGTTTCAATGATTCAGAGTCGACTCTTTCTTTTGAGAGACAATAACTTTATACACGGTGCACTTTCAGATTTAAGACTTTGCAGGATGTTTTCATTCAATTAGAGCTGTTTTACACACTGCATGAAAGGTCATTTTCAAAAATCCATAATAGGGGCACTTTAAATGCACATTCTCTCTTAGGTCTGCAGAGACACCACATACTAAATCCAAAACTACTTGGCCTAGAATTAATAATATGAAATATATCAAATGATATACGAGATTAAAAATTATTCATCCCCAAATTTTAAATATTTGTTGTGTTTTTGTCAGTTTTGTAGGCATTTAATTTCTGACCCCCTAAACCTCCTCTTCTCTTTCAATCTTCTTCATTCTCAGACATTACCTTTGTGACGGTAACTGACTGTGGTTTTTTGGCAGAGTGAGTACATCGCCCCCAGAGATGCGAGGTTGGCCTGGATGTCTGGCTTCACTGGCTCCGCAGGTGTGTTTCACAGCCAACTGATCATAATATTGCTGTATCACCATGCATCATTCTCAGTCACATTATGTTTGTCACTTCTTTGGTCCCTGACAAACGGCCCACTCCTGTCTTCTGTTATAACTAACAAAAGTCTGTTTCTAAATTCTAGGAACAGCAGTAATTACTCAAAACAAGGCTGTTTTGTGGACAGATAGCCGCTACTGGATTCAGGCAGAGAGACAAATGGACTGTAACTGGGAGCTACTGCGAGATGGTGAGGAGCAATATGAGAGTAAAATTCATATTTTAAACTTGTCCAAATGAAGTTGAACATGTGGGTGAATGAATGTCTTAAAACATATATTTAAAGGATATTGAAAGATGTTATTCTATTGATTGCTGTGTAGAATTCTATTATTTGTCTGTTATTAATTCGATCTGAGTCTGTAACACTTTCCTGGTCTAACTCTACTGGATCACAGCCTCCATTCGCAGCATTACCAACTGGCTGATCCTAGAGATCCCTGAGGGAGATCAGGTGGGCTTTGACCCATTCCTCTTCTCTGTAGGTAAGCAAACAGAGCTAATAAAATACTTTATGTAAAATAAGTTTAAAAAGTGTGTGTTGTTTTCTGTTCTTTTTTTTGTTTTAAATGCTGTTCTTTTGAACTTTTTTTATTCATCAAAATAAAATAAAAAATTGAATAATGATAATACATTTTAAAATGTATTCAAATGGAAAACGTATATTAAATTGTATAATATTTCACAATATTGCTTATATATTTACTATTTTTATCAAATAAATGCAGCCTTGGTGAGACTAAGAGACTTCTTTCAAAAACATTTGTAAAAATGTTACTGAAGCAAGCTTTTGAATTGAAGTGTATATATAAACTATATTAAGATGATCACATAAGTAACAAATCTAATGACGAAGATTATCAAAATCAGTCGTGAATAATTTGGTCATTATTCTTTGCTGCTTTAGACATTTTTGACATCTACAACACCAACCTGGCTCCAGCTGGCCGGATCCTGAAGTCTATTCCTGATAACCTGGTGGATAAAATATGGACAAATCGACCTCCTCTGCCTCCTGATAACCCCACACACTTACCTGACAGTGTCATCGGTGTGTGCATGTCTTATCAGCATCACTTGACTGATAAGTACCAAGCGAATAGGGCAGAGTACCATAAGATCATGACAGACAGAGCAATAAAGCTCTGATTTAATCTTTAATGACTAGTGATATAACTTACAGTAATGACAGCTCACAGAGGGGATATTCTAGTTCATTCTGGTGCCAAGATAAAGTCAATGAGGCATGAATAAAGCCACAGTCAGCCTAAAAATAACTTCATGTTGGTCTAAAACTACAGTATATGGCATTTTTTTTCTGTGGGACTTAAAATGAGTTGTGCATTTTATTACTATTATCATTTATAAGTCCTCTGAATTCATATTATAGCTTTGTGTGAGGAACATGTAAATCTTTTTTCAGTGCTGTTTACTAATAATCTTCCTGCTGAGACTAAAGTGTTGAGTCAATGTAGTGAACTTGAGAACCAAATCAGTCTGATCTATGAATAAATCATTTTAAACCAAAAAAACACAATCATTTTGGTGAAGTAAAAAAGCTGATTCACTGAACAGATTTGATTCAAAATAGTGAATCTTTAACAAATCAGTCTTCTTTACATCTATGTTCCCTTTTATTGTAATTGCATAGGAAATGTTATTGTAAGGGTTAGTAAATGGTGACAGAATTCTCATTTTTGGGTGAACTGTTTCTTGAAGGTTTTGTTGTAATTCAAATTTACATTGTGCGTGTGTGTTTGTTTGGATGTTCAGAAAGGACCTGGCCAATGAAAGTAGATCAGATACGAGCCCAAATAAGTGACAATCCATACAAGCCCACCGCTGTGCTGCTTTCAGCTCTGGACGAGACCGCATGTAAGCACAAAACAGCACAACACAAAGCCATCTCATGCAGGAGAGTTTCTCTGAATTGTTCTGTAAAACTCTTGTCGGGCCAAATATTTTCTCTATTTTCAGGGCTGTTTAATCTACGAGGCAACGATATCCCTTTTAATCCATTCTTCTATTCTTACACTCTGCTGTCAATGGATGAGATATGGCAAGTTCCTCTGTTTCATATTAATAGCACTATACTTAGTTGGTGTGCTGTATAGTTTCTAACTAACCTCCTTCACCAGGCTCTTTGTGCACACTGAACGAATAACAGAAGAGTTGAAGGTGTACCTGAACACTACATGCTACCATTCCTATTGTGTGCAGCTGCTTGAGTACAGCTCTGTGCGCTCATACCTGCAGTCCTATCTACAGAGACCCAACATGAGAGTATGGGTGGGTACAGAGTACACCAACCAAGCCCTGTATGAGCTCATCACTCCTGAGGTAAGACCTGGATCCAAAATATAGACAACTAATATGTCTATGATAGCTTGGATGCTCAATTAAGGAGTCTCAGACTATCTGTTGGCTAAATATGGCTAAGATGATTCAGTCAAGCCCCTCAAGTGTTAATAATTGATTTTCACTTTTTGCATTTGGCCTTTAATGTTATCCTGTGCTTCTGTTCAAGAAGTGTTAAATAGTAGCCTAATTAATTTTTTCCCATATTACTTTTTAAAGGCTGAAACATAAATGTAAATATGGAACAAACAAGCCTCTGTGCTTGCATCTGTCAAAAAAGTTTAGTTATGCACATCTACATCAGGCACGTGTGACAAAATTAGATTGCTATAATCAGTGGAGCCAATGTTCTATTTTTGACACACTGCACAGCTATTTCAGCCACTTTATTTTGCCCCTCCTAGTCTGTCTGAAATGAAATTATTTTATTGACAGATATGTAAATAAATATATGGTGAACATTAAATTGGAGCCAATTTATGTTTTACTTATTGTGACTAGATGTGCTGTGATGTGCAAAACAAATTTGAATAAATGGATGGATGGAGGTGTGGATGGATGGGGTAGATAGATGGGTGAGTATATAGGTGGATGGATGGGTAGATAGATGGATAAATGGATGGATAAGTAGATTGGTGGATGGATGGATGAGTAGATTTGTGGACTGATGTATGGATGGTAGGTATGGATGGATGGATTAGATGGATGGATGGATGGATGGATGGATTAGATGGCTGGATGGATGGATGGTAGATACCAAGACGGATGGGTAGATAGATGGATGATTGATGGCTGGATGGCTGAATGGGTTGGGTGGATGGATGGATGGATCCTGACTGAAATTATAATTTCATAAGGTTGCTTGAGTCCCACAGTACAGGTGAAGATTTTACTGCTGATGAACATATCTTATGCCTTTAAGGACAAACTTCTGACAAGCACCTATTCTCCAGTACTGACCACAAAAGCAGTGAAAGATGCAACTGAGCAGCGTATTCTCAAAGAGGCTCATGTAAGAGAACACACACACATTCTCCCCTAATTACTTTTGTAAAGCAGTGATAACCCTGATGGACACTTTGTTGACTGATACCTGTTGTATTATCGTAATTTCTAGAATAAGGGGCACTTTATCACATCATAAAGCCACATTAGGAGGCCAGACGGACTCCATTCATTGCAGCATCAATGTCTTATCGCTCCTTATCGCACAACCTCCATCAAACATATTGGAACCTTTATTACTCATGGTGTTTGCTTGTATTCAGTGTTCTATTGACATATTTTGCAGAATTAGGTTTTTCAATCGAAAACAACTGCATTTGATAACATGCGTGGTTTATGGCCTAAAGCCAGACCTCTGTTGACTGCTTCAATTAATCCCCTCCGTCTGGCATCCGTCTGGTCTCAAGCAGGTGATTTTGTACTTCTCAGCCACGATGGGAGAACATCCATCCTTTTTCCCGCAGGTTAGGGATGCAGTCGCAGTCATGCAGCTTCTGATGTGGCTTGAGAAGAAAGTTCCAGAAGGAACAGAGAATGAACTTACAGCAGCACATTTTGTCGATCAGTGTCGCAGGTACAGAACAATGGAGCTAAACCCTCTTCACTGATACCACTCACATACAGTAAAACAGATGGTTTTTACCTGTATTGTTCATTTTTCAAGGCTATCGGTTCCAAAAGTATATGTACCATTCATTGATTTAAATTGTGCATTGCTTATTTGGTTTAATTGTACATTTATTTATTTATTTTATACGTATATACACATTAGTAATTTAATTCTTTACAGTGAATATGTAATTAAATGCTATTTCTAATTTTATTTAGTGTTTTCTTTTCAAAATATGCAATCAAATGCTATCAGAGCTTGTGGTAGGTTTGTCTTGGAAGACAATTATGGCTGAATTTTAGTATGAAAATGAACAGACTCTAGCACTCTATATTAACCATATTTCTATGCTTGCATTACAGGAATGACATTATTTGCACAAGTAGAACTTGTTCCTTCATCAAGGATGTTAAATTAGAAGATGTTTTACTTATGTAAACTTCCTTTTTCTTGAGAATCACAAACCCTTCACTGTGTTTCGGCAGCAAACAGAAGAACAGCAGAGGGCCGAGTTTTGAGACCATTTCTGCAAGTGGACCTAATGCTGCTCTTGCTCACTACAGGTATTGAATACTGTTCCTCTTCCCGCCAAATTATAATGTTTAGCTTTTCAGTCATTTTTCTTTGTTCTCTCTTGAATTATATTCATTATGTTTACTTATAACTACCTGGATTGTTCTTATTTTTACAGTCCATCTAATGAAACTGCAAGGAAGCTGTCAGTGGACGAGATGTATCTGGTTGACTCTGGAGGACAGTACCTGTGAGTTTCATAGTACTATTAGTACAAAGTTATGTTTGTGTGCAAAAAAAACAATACATAGCCAAGCTCATGCATGCATTCTGTCTGATTTATGTTAACAGTGATGGTACTACTGATATAACGCGTACTGTGCACTGGGGTAAACCCACTGACTTTCAAAAGGTATTGAATGGAAGGCATAGGGAGTTTCTAATGATGCAAAGCATAATAGGATGCTTATACTGAAAAGAAAACTGTTTTCTCCATGTCCTACTCCGATAGGAGGCCTACACAAGAGTGCTCATGGGAAATATTGAGATTTCAAGAGCCATCTTTCCTGCTGGAACTAGAGGTGAGGATTTCCTCATCTTCAATCGCAATCTCCTTTCAAGCGACCATGCCATGATACTTCCACAAGAGGGCGCCATATATACACAGCAGACTTCTCACAGTGACCACTACAAAACCTGTCAAGTGCTAACGGTTCAAGTGTTTTTATTCCCACCATAGGCGTGAACATGGAGATGCTGGGACGAAGAGCATTGTGGGAAGTTGGTTTAAATTATGGTCATGGCACAGGTCATGGTGTGGGCAACTACTTTGGAGTCCATGAATGTAAGTCTTACTCTGTAATGTGTTCATATATTTATTTCAGTAATCTTGTCATTTAAGTGCATTTGTGTTTATAACAATCATTTACAATTAAAATACACTAATATTTAAAAGTGTAGGGTCAGTAACTTTTGTTTTTAATTATCAAGGATGTATTATATTCATTAAAAGTGACAGTAAAGGCATTTATAATGTTACAAAAGATTTCCGTTTTAAAAAATCTTGTTCTTTTGAGATTTCTATTCAAAGAATCCTGGGGAAAAAATTGTAGCATTGACAATAATAAGAAATTGATAATAAATTGTTATATAATTAAAATATAAAACATTGTAACACTATTTCACAATATTACTGTTTTACCTTATTTTATTTATTTATTTATTTATTACAAATAAATGCAGCCTTGGTGAGAAAAACTTTTCAAAAACACACATATGCAGGTATATGTATATATAGAACATATGCTGTATCTCTTCATCTAAGGTCTCTGTTTTCTCTCTGATAGGGCCTGTGGGTTTTCAGTCCAATAATATTCCATTTCAAGAGGGGATGTTCACATCAATTGGTGAGGAATCATTAAGCAGCTCATTACGATTATCTTAGTTTGATAATTACGGTTATAAACTGACAAACTCTCCTCTAGAACCTGGTTATTACAAGGAGAATGACTTTGGTATAAGGATAGAGGACATTGCTGTCACTGTTCCAGCTACTACAAAGGTACATCCAACTAACTGAGGGTCCATAACTCTGTAAATCCACTGCAGTTAGCCAAGGGCAGTGCCTAAAGAAATATTAATATGTGCATTTTTTTCTTGCTTAAAATAAAAGTCCTCTTTTCCTGTTTTACTTTTAAGTATGGCAACAATTACTTGACATTTGAAACTGTCTCACTGGTGCCTTATGACAGAAAACTGATAAACACATCTCTTCTAAGTCCTGAGCAGGTATTGTAATAGTGATATTAAGTATTTATAACAAAATAATTTTTTGTTTTGTTTGTATCTTTGTAAAGCACTTTGCCAGAATGATTGGCAAATAAATGTGTGTGTGTGTGTGTGACCCTGGACCACAAAACCAGTCATAAGAGTCAATTTTTCAAAATTGAGATTTATAAATCATCTGAAAGCTGAATAAATAAGATTTCCATTGATGTATGGTTTGTTAGGACAATATTTGGCTGAGATGCAACTATTTGAAAATCTGGAATCTGATGGTGCAAAAAAAAATCTAAATATTAAGAAAATCGCCTTTAAAGTTGTCCAAATGAAGTTCTTAGCAATGCATATAACTAACCAAAAATTAAGTTTTAATATATTTACAGTAGGAAATGTGTAAAATATCTTCATGGAACATGATCTTTACTTAATACCCTAATGATTTTTGGCATAAAAGAAAAATCTATCATTTTGACCCATACAGTGTATTTTTGGCTATTGCTACAAATACACCCGTGCTACTTAAGACTGGTTTTGTGCTCCAGGGTGTGTGTGTGTGTGTGTGTATATATATATATATATATAT